TTATGAATTGTGGAAAGGTCGACAACCTTCTTACAAATACTTAAAAGTGTGGGATGTTTGGCAAAAGTTGAAGTTCTTGTTTCTAAAAAGACTAAGATTGGACCAAAAATAGTAGATTGTGTGTTTATTGGTTATGCTCAGAATAGTAGTGCATATCGGTTTCTGACTTATAAATCAGAAATACCTGATATAAATGTGAACACTATTATAGAGTCAAGGAATGCTGTGTTTTTTGAACATGTCTTTCCTTACAAGAAAGGACAGGAATTAAGTTTACAATAAAGAACTTATGATTGTACACAAAGTCAAGAGACTAATGACAATCAAACACAAGAGACTAGTAATGGTCTCGACTAACAGGATTTAACTGATGATGAACCAAGACGAAGTAAGAGAGCGAGAACATCAAAATCCTTTGGTCCAGATTTCCTGACATACCTGTTAGAAAATGAACCTTAAAGCTTTAAGGAAGCAATGACAGGTCCTCAAACACCTTTTGTGGAAAGAGGCTGTTAATAATGAAATTGAATCCATTATGCAAAATCATACTTGGGAATTAGTGGATCTTCCACCAGGTTCTAAACCACTTGGATATAAATGGATATTCAAGAGAAAAATGAAGGTAGATGGTTCAATTGACAAGTATAAAGCAAGACTTGTAGTTAAAGGTTACAGACAAAAGGAAGGTCTGGATTATTTTGACACATATTCCCCTGTGACAAGAATAACATCCATTCGCATATTTATTTCTATAGCAGCGTTGTTTAATTTAGAAATGCATCAAATGGATGTTAAGACAGCTTTCTTAAACAGTGATCTAAATGAAGAGATCTATATGGAGCAACCCGAAGGGTTTGTAGTGTCAGGACAAGAAAATAAAGTTTGTCGGCTTGTAAAGTCTCTTTATGGATTAAAACAAGCACCTAAGCAATGGCATGAAAAATTTGATCATGCAATGCTTACTAATGGGTTTAAGATAAACGAATGTGACAAATGCATCTATGTTAAAAACACTGACCAATGATATGTCATAGTTTGTCTTTATGTGGATGACATGGTTATCATTGGAAGCAGTCAAAACATGATCAAATCAACTAAGCAAATGCTTAACAAAAGATTTAATATAAAAGATATAGGGGTTGCAGATGTTATATTAGGAATGAAAATTACTAAAACATCTGACGGATATGCATTATCTCAATCACATTATATTGAGAAAATTCTTGGTAAATTTATCAAGGATGATTTGAATGTAGCTAGAACACCTGTAGACATCAGTCTTTATTTATCGAAAAATAAAGGTGATGCAGTGTCTTAGTTAAAATACTCCCAAATCATTGGAAGCCTAATGTACCTAATGAATTGTACTCGTCCTGATATAGCTTATGCTATCAGTAAATTGAATAGGTATACTAGTAACCCCGGAGAAGACCATTGGAAAGCGATCATTCGGGTTCTTAGATATCTAAGATTTACTCGTGATCATGGTTGGAACTTTACTCGATATCCAGCAGTACTTGAAGGTTATTATGATGCAAATTGGATATCGGATACTAAAGATTCAAAATTCACTAGTGAATATGTCTTTACTCTAGGAGGCGCTGCTGTTTCTTGGAAGTCCACGAAACAAACATGCATCGCACGATCCGCAATGGAATCTGAGTTCATTGCTTTAGACAAAGCAGGAGAAGAAGCAGAATGGCTTCATCACTTCTTAGAAGACATTCCTATGTGGCCAAAACCTGTGCCAGCTATTTGCATTCATTGTGATAGCCAATCTACAATAAGCAAGGCATAGAATCATATGTATAACGGTAAGTCACGACATATTCGTTGTCGACATAATACCGTTAGGCAATTGTTGTCAAATGGAATAATCTCAATAGATTATATAAAATCTAAAGAGAATATTGTGGATCTATTAACAAAAGGTTTGACAAAAGAGCAAGTGTATAGTTCATCAAAGGGAATGAGATTAAAGCCTATTACATAAGAGTCATCATAATGGTAACCCTACTTATATGACTGGAGATCCCAAGAACTAAGTTCAAAGGGACAACTAAGTTATGTATGGCTCGCCAGAAATCACCAAGGGATTAACCTACACATTCCTATGGTGAGAGTGATATCTGCAACATATGTTGTATGTAGGAGTACAAGGATAAGCTTTGCTTTTAATGATTACTTATATCTTGATTTAGGCATGAAAGTCAAGACGAGTATAAGGAGATACTCATAATAAGAATCATCTATATGAGTGTCGAACCGGGCCGGTTCTATGAGAATGAAAAAATGCTTAATTCTCTAGAAACACTCATGAAAACCAGGAGCGTCCAAGGCCAAAATGAACATAACAGTGAGAACCACGATGTGTTAGAAGATATGTTGTGTGAAATCTATTGTCTTGGCTTATACAAACGGCTGAACAATTCAAGGCATCGCGTCCATTGGTTAGCTAGTAAGTCCGATAGGTTATCACTAGGGAAGGTTCAATGTCGAAAGCTACCTATCCTGATGCAAGATATTTTCGACTTATACTCTTTCGATAAAGTCTGCATATTGTTGCATTTCCGTTGTCATCAAATTCCATTCATGTGGGGGATTGTTGGAAATGGTTGGAAAATTCTAGGTAAAACCAGAATTTTTTCCTAACTTTGGTCTAATTTTTAGGTGGGACCCAAGCGTTGATTTTCGCGAGTTAAAGTGGTAACGCGTTCTATGTCGCGTTGTGATTTACATGGTATATTTGGTTTCTCAAAACCATTACCGAGTGAATAGAAAATTGAAGCCAAAGTATACTCCATGGAAATGGAGTTTTGGTAAAAAATTCTTAAAGGTTTAAATAAGGCTTGTCTCGCATTGATTTGGTGGGAAGTTTTGAGTGGGTTTATAAGGCATGGGATTAAAACTTGGGGTGTGCCCCAAGGGGTACCCAAGTGTTTTAAAGATGGAGGTTATGGGCAAAATGGCCTAGACCCATTGGACCCAAAAATCATAACACGAGCGCGCGCGCCGCCGTTCGTTCGTCCGGTCGGGTGGGCTTGGGCACGGGTGCCCAATACCTATCTTTTTGGGTCAAAAATATTTGAATTTAATTTTATTTTTTGGAAAAATAAAATCCAGAATTCAAATTAATTCTGGAAATAAACTGGTTCGATTTTTCTGTACACCCAAACAGGTCCCTTCTCGTTTTTATCTGTTTGAATTTTGAACCCAACAGATTTAAATCTGTTTAATTCAAAACCAAACAGGTTTCATACCTGTTGAAACATGTTTGCACTTGTTTAATTCAAAACCTGCAGCCACCAACCCATCTATAAATAGGACAACCCTCATTTGATATTTCATTCAGAATTTTCGTACTTTACCTCTGCTATAATTCTCTGTATTTTGTTGCATTTAATTTCTATAAGAAAGAGTGTAAACACTTAGTATGTTCGTTAAGCAAACAATTTGTAGTGCTGCTATTGTTTGTAGTTGATCATTTCATCCTGGGAGATAGACGTTTACATTCTGAAAGCACCGTGGAGATGGCGAATCTGTCTTAAGGACACAGTGTCAAATACTGGACTTGATCAAAATAATATTCAAGATATTAATCAAGTAAGTAATTTATTTGTTTTCTGTTTTATTATTTATTTAAATCAAATTTTAATTTTGTTCTGATAACAAAATAAAATATGTTTTTATTTATTTAATTCTATTTCTGATTTGATTTTTGTAATCAAACATTTTTTTTCTCCTTTCCTTTATATTTTTATATTCTAATTGTTGTTTAGTACATAACAAAATTTAATCTATTTAAATACATTGAAGATTGTCTAATACAAAAAAGAGAAAAATGTTGAGAAAATTATGAGGTAGAGAGAGTAACTATGTACTCGCACAAACTACGCGCAAACACCGATGATCAGTCACTCTCTGTCTTTTTTACTATAATTTCCCTCACCTGTTCCAACTCCGTGATTGTAGCGAAAACAATTCATTTTTAAATAACCAGCTTTATATAAAAGATCAACTAATAATTAATTTTTTTTACATTAATAAAAATATAAGATATATTATCATCTTTTTATATCACTTCTTAATTATTGAATTTAGATCATATATTATTTTTTTGTGTATGAGTTCAGATATGTAATTTTTTTGGGGATAAATATGCACAAACTTGGGTGGTTGAAAAAGTTAGTATTATTTTGGTTTAATTGTTTTTGTTGTTATTATTCTGAGTTCTTAGCAAGCCAGGATAGTTGTCTTATATACAGACAACATATTACAGAACACGAGATGCTAATCACCCACAAAGTCTAGGAAAAAAGATTCAAGAAATTAACATTAACGGAAAGTCTATAGTAAAAAAAAGACTAGAAAAATAGGAATTGAGAGAAAAAAGAAGAAGAAGAAAGAAATAACAAGTCTAGGTGCACAATTTTTGTTTTGGAAAAAATTAATAAGTAACCACTTTTTTTCTCCAAATTATCATTTAGTCATATTGTCTTTCAATTTGAACAATTCAGTCTTATTTTTATTAGTGAAATTATATGTATCACTGTTTTTTAATCACCATTTTGTATCGCCAAATTACATAATTTCTTGTCATGTACCTAGCAATACAAAATGCAGTAATATATAATAACCATCTTTTTATAACTTCCAAATTAGTTCAAGGTTACATAATAGTATATTTCATTCTGATTTTACCTTGCAATATGGGAATAAATTCTAATAGAAAAGTATAAACATTTAAACAAAAATATCTATTTATCTCATTAAAGTAATAGAATAAAAATTATGAGCAATACTATGGCACATACACAAGTTATGCCATTTGTAAGTTTGATTATCATAAATGGCACAATTGATAGTTATAATTTAAAAAAAAAAAAAAAAAAGTTATAACTAACATGTATAACCAAATAACTCTTGAATTATAATTAAAATAATATCATAAGTAATAACATTACAATGTGTCGTTACTAACAATACAATAACCAAGAGTGTGTATGGTAGATACCCCAAACATAGAATTTCCCAAGAACTATTAATCGTTTATTTTGAAAATAGATATTAAAAAAAAAAAAAAAAAAAAGAGGATTTCAATCGCAGCCCAATATTGAAAATTGATAAAAGTGAGACTCATTCGATCGTAGTCTCTCTGTGAAAAAATTTATGTGAAAATAACACAACGCCATAAACTGAAAAACACAAACATGGTTGGTCACTCAATCGAAGACAGCTTAATAATGAATAACTACAACATGGAACTCAAGAACAGCAGTGTTCGTCGCAGGATTGTTTGCGAAAGTCTTGGCGGTTGCGATTCCTCGTGCGAGCCGAAACTCACCTGAACCACCAACGACAGACATCTCACGGTACTGATCTAATATTGGGTCACCACCAACGATCGCGAGAGTGCTACCATTAAACTCTCCTTCTGTGAAAAACAAGTTCATAGTAATTAGTAGACTCTGTGGTCCGAGCGAAGAAGCAGCGAATAGACCCTGAGCTCGGCCGAGCTGCTTGGAAGTGATGTTAGGCCCTACTGTCATTGCGTTATCGAATATGTTGATTCCACCGAAAGCAGCTGTGGATGTGCTGTTATTGTTGGGTGCTCGAGCGATTTGAATGGAAGTTGTGTTGTTTCCGCTTTCAATGTCGTGGAAGTAGAAGTGAAGCTTTGTTAGCTTTTGTTTTGAATGGGTTAGGTTGTCGAGCCACTTTTCTACCGATTTTGGATCTTTGGCGAGGCCGTGAATCGCCGGCACGGAAATCACCATTGAACATAGAATCAGAATTGCAGAGAGCAGCTTCCCCATCTCTGTTTTTTTTTATTCTGTTTTTTTCCTCTGTTATTTGTGTGCAATGAACACAATGGAGAAGCTTTTATGTATGTACCTAGAATTTGGTTAACTGTGGCTTTAATTATATACACCATCCATCCCAATATTGTTGGTTCCAACATTTTAAGGCAGATGGGATCATTATATTGAAATTTAAATTTTAAAATATATATATTTTTTTATTAATGTCTCTCTCTTTCAATGGAAGACAATTTCTTCCGATTTAAAATCTTAGGATTCATGACAAGTTTCATTTCGATAATTTGAATTGTTCATTTTGTTGAGTATTTTATATATTTTATTCGAAAAAAAAGTACATCCGATAATTGTAATTTGTTCAATTTATTATTTTTGTCATAAAAAAAATATATGATTCATTTTTTAAAAACATAATTGTCGTCTATTTTTTTAGTGAAAAACATGGTAAATTGTACAAGTTCTAGTTATCAGATCGATTTAATTTATTTTTTTTGGATGAAATCTACAAAGTGTTGAGTAAAATGAGCGATTCGGATCATCGAAACGATACTCATGATGGGTCCCATGGGCCCAAATAGTTCCCTCTAGTCTATATTTTGTTCTCATGTACATACCTAGCAATACAAAACAGTGAAAAAAACCGATAATACATTACAAAAAATTGAGATTTTAGAAACCAAAATTTAGGGGTAAAATTATTTTTTAGGGATCAAATATTTTTGTTATAAAAAGTGTCGTTATTATGTTTTTAGTAACGGAAATTAGACATTAGTGATGAATTATTATCCATTTTAGACCAATTTTTTTGTCTCAAAAAATAAACCATTTTGAGACCAAATTGTTTTGTCCCTAAAAGTCTATTTATTAGTGACATTTCAAAATTTTGTCACTAAAAGTCTTGTTTTTCATTTTTCGGGACGACCTTTTAGCGATTATCCTCATAACGATAGAAATTGGTCCTTAAATATCTTTTTATAATAAAATTTTTACTTTTAAAGATCAAAATATTTGACCTCTAAATCTCTTATATGTTGTAATGATATATAGCTGTACTCTTTTTATGACTTCTGCCAAATTAATTCAAGATTGCATAACAACAAATTTTGTTCTAATTTTGCCTTTGAACACGTGACGAAATTCTAACAAAGAAAAGAGAAGTATAAACAATTAAATAAAAAAAAAATTCATCTCAGTAATGCTGGACTATGGGTTTTTATAGCCTTATTTTGGACTATTTTTGAGCCCAAATTTGAGTGAGGCCCACACATTTTTTGGGGTGGGTTCAAAAAGGTGACGGTTTCCTTACCGCATGACAAGTCACACGAAGCAAACGGTTCATCAAAACCCTTTATGAGTGAATATGAAATTGACGTCGTTTTCGAATTTGTGGAATGGACAATTAAAGAGTAAAATATGAGTTTCCTTGTAATGTTTGTTCCACATTAAAACTTTAAGAGAGCTTGTGCGAGTATATAAGCTCTAGGTAGACAAACTGGGGTTGGGTTCTAAGGGGCACCCTAAGTTTGTAGAAGGGAGGAGTTATGGATAAAGCAGGCTTTGGCTCAAACCACTACACACGCACACGCTGCCGTCGGTCCGACTGGGTGTGGGTCAGATTTAGCCTAATATTATTTTTTTCAACAAAATTTATTTGAATTTTTTTTCAAAAATTCTTGGGGGAAAATTATTTTTTGTGAACAAAATTAATTCAAATTTTGCAATTTGAATTCAAATTTTCTGTCCAAAAAGTGTCTCCTCTAATCCAATTTTTCAGCAGGTTGAAATAGTTCTTTCAGCCTGTTTTAACAGATTATACCTGGATAGATTCAACCCTGTTTCAACAGGTTCAATTCATTTTCATACCTGTTCAGTTTGAGTTTGTATCTGTTCAGTTTGAATTGCATCTGTTCGGATCTATCAAAGGGACACCACTTTGCCTATAAAAGCAGATCCTCTTCCAGCAACTTTTTCATTCCAAAAATTCTCTTTTTGTCTTCTTTGTGCTCTCTTGCATAGATATATTCTTCATATTATTTTTAGAAAAAGTTCTGAGAGTCACTACAAGAAATTGCATTTTTCGCAACGCAACAAAATATGTTGCTAAAAGGGAAAATTTGTCGGCAAAGAATATTGCCGACACACAAAGCTACGTTGGCAACCCGTAGGCAAAAGTGAGTCGGCAAAAGTTTTTGCCGACGAAATTATCATTGCATTGGTAAAAGTAATGCCTTTAGCGATGAACATAAGCCTTCATCTATCGTCGGCAATTTACCTTGCGTCGGTAAAAGTCATTCAAATATGATGATTGTGTGGCACTTTTCGCGACACAAATTTGCATGGGCAAACAATATACTTTTAGCAACAAAATATGCATCGACAAAAATAAACTTTTGGCGACACATTTACGTCGGTAAATGTTGTGATTTGCCTACGATTTATTTGTCGATAAAACTTCACTTTTGGCAACGACAAATTAGCATTGGCAAAAAATACATTTTTGGCAACACATTTACGTCGGTAAATATTGCCATTTGCCGACGATTTGTTTGTCGATAAAAGTTTACTTTTGGCAACGACAAATTGACATTGGCAAAAAATATACTGCTAGCAACACAATATGAGTGGGCAAAAATAAACTTTTGGCGACACATTTACTGACAAACATAATTGAAAATAATTTATATATTGTTATAAGATTTACAGATTTACAAGAGGCATCCCTCAGGCACCACTATCACAAACTAATAACATTGATATGAAATTACCTAAAGTTGTTGTGCAAGCAAAAAAACACTACTGATACTGCTTTTAGAAGCAATGTATAAAACCTAAAAGGGTAAAGTCACTAAAATACCCAAATACATCCAAATTGTGAACCCACATTAGAAACAACAGATAACAAAATAAAACATGAAACTAACAAAGACAGGCAAAACGGCATGAAAATCACCCACAAACTTATCCAGCAGATCAACATCTAGTAGCAGCTGCCTCACAGCAACATTGCAACAGCAACAGTAGCCGCCCAGCAAGCATCAACCACGAGAGCGACAGCAGTAGCAAACCAGCAGCAACAGACCAGCAGATGCAGCAAACCAACAAGCAACAGCCATCAGCCACCAGCAAAAAGGAGGATCTGGTAGCAATCTGTATTGATCAATGACAAGTTTAAAACAAAGTCCATTAGCTTTCTTATTGATCTGGAAGCAGTCTGTGTGTGTGTGTGTGTGTATGTGTGTGTGAGAGTGTTAATAGATATGCAAGCGTAAGTACTGGCCAAAACATAAAGCTTTTACCATCATCCGGTAAAAAATAAAATAAAATAAAAACCTTCAATTTCCAACTATACTAAAACAATTAGTAGCAGTAGATCCAATGCATTCTACACTCCAGTGAAAAAAATGTTGTCCAAGTTACAAATCATTCACTTGCAACAATGGCAATAATTTACACAAGGCAAACTAATTTCAGATTCTCTACTAATATTCAGATAAGGTCCATTTCAATGATTTCTGATATGGAAGGCATATGCATTATCTCTGTGATATGTACAGAGGTTTCAGATTCTCTGTAGTCAGACAACAATATGATGATATTACAATACAAAACTCCTAATCATTATCAAGTTCACATCATTCAATAATTTGGCAACAAGAAGAAAACAAATAAAATGATTGCATTCACTAACAAACATAAACTTAAAAACTATAGGTAAAAGGCAACTATACTGGTGAGCAGCTAGTAAAAAGTGGCACCCACAATGAGCTACATCTCAGCCTATCTGTCATCTCTTTGAGTGCTAAAGCGAGCAGACATGCCTCCACACCCATGCAAGAGAGAGAGACTGAGACCGATCTTCCTTATAGTCCCCTCAACACAACCAAAGGACACTTTTTGAAGGTACTAGAACTATTCAGTAAGATTCAAGCAGAATGGTCATTTCTAACATCAAATCGTGGTGGTCATCGCTGACAAAGGCAACAGTATGAATAAGGGTCATTGTGATATATTTGTTTCCAACAAAAATGGACATGATGTTCAGTGGGATTCATGATGTTCAGTGGGATTCAGGGAGGCAAAGATGATGTCAATACTGCTGCAGTCCTGGTGATGATCATGGTGAAGATGGTAGTCCCCCAATGATTATTGCCTCTGATTGCCGGCACCAATACGAGTTGGTTACAAATTTATTTTGGGTTGACAACGACAGCAATGAAATTGTTGCATTGACATCATTTTTTACCATTTCTTCCTTCTTATTCATTGAATTTACCCCTCATTTCAGTTTTTCCCTTTTCCTTGTGAGATTCTAATAAAATGAAATGTGCATGGTTAATGCAATACTTTTCAAAAAAATTGTATGATGGAAAGCAGAAAAGAAAAAGAAGACAACAAAAATGTTTTCAATATGAGAAAACTAGGATTTCAAGAAATTGAAGGTTCTGAAATGGTCCCTCCTAATGCATTCACTTACTCGAAAAGCCCGATAAGAGACCAAAAGAAATCAGAGAGACACATAAAAAGAGAGAATTAGTATAAGCATTACTATAGTAGGCTTAAAATGACACGATTTAAGTGCAGAAAACAAACCACATCAATATATTGTAAACTACATACTTCTCAAGCAAATCCTAGCAAACTGGGCACTTACAAAAACCTATGGAAAAAGGAATCAATTTCCTCTATTGTGCCAAATTCAATGTATTCAAAGAAAAACTGAGATATCTAACCCTTGTTGCAAAAAAGTGGCTTATATGTTTTGGTTTTGGTAGTTGGCTTGGATATCCCTCTGTATTAGTTCTGCTGTGATGGCCTCATATCATTACATCATTATAGGGATTCTGGGAGGTCATCATACGACTTTTTGTTTAACTATATGATACACGATCATACAGTTTTCCCCTGGCAAAGAACATTATATGTGTCTTTATAAAATCTCTAAGGACTCTAGTTCAAAATATGAAGTTTATTTTATATATAAACTTTGATTTATAAATGAGCTCTGTTTTGGTACATGTATATGACGATATCCATATAGATTCTTTTGTGCACTTTGTATGCTATTATCGATGAGCATTGGCTCACACCAT